GTCTTCTCTCCGTTTTGTTAATTGCAGCGTCGTCTTTTTTTTTNTTTTTTTTTTTTTTTTTTTGGTTTGTTTTTGTGCATCGAAAACTTTTCGACCTCGAAATCCTTCTTGGCGACTTCGTACTCAAGGTCGTACTTTTCCCCCTCGAGAGCGATGATCCTCTTATGATACTGGATCAGAATGGACTTCACGTTAGCTGTCAAAATTCCAAGTCACCTTGAAACATACTCCTTTTTCAAAGCAGGATACGGATACGATTTTAACCGGTATATGTGCGTGTGTGTATGTGTGTATGTATATACGTGTGTATGTGTGTGTGTGTTCTTTTTTCCTCTACACGTATATATATATTATTTTTTTTTTTTTTTTTTCCCCTCGATATAAGTTTTTAATCTAACTTGAAATAGACACGAGAGTGTGAGAAAGTGTAAGAAAATAAAACACGATCTCGTGTTGTCACTTTTCTCGGTTTGTCATCAACCGGGGCGGGGGGAATGAAATAATGTGTTAAAGCAGGGGACGAGGTAGAGGAGGTAGAGGCAAGTGTATCAAAGCTGAACGAAATTTGTCAATTACAAATGAACGAAGTGTCATCGATCGATTCGACCCTATCGAGCGTGATTGATACCTGTATTGATTGTAATAGAAATCGCGATACGATTCGAAAAATTGAAAAACAGGGGACGGAGGCGATGTGGCGATATACACAGAAAGCGAAGAAGAAGTAAAGAAAAAAAGAAAAAGAAAAAAAAAAGGTAATCGAGTGAATGCCGAGCGTATTGAAATGTGCACACTGTGGCGTGTGAAAAATATTCGAAAAATTTCGAGAAATCAAAACGAGAGTTACCCTTAATATTATTACTATTATACCCTGAATGAGTGTGAATTATTTATTCCACCATACACATCATATATAGCTGCGTTTCTTGCTGCGACAACTTGTGAGAACACAATCAAAAGTTAATAACGTGAATGATCCACGATGTGCTTATAGCTTTACCATGTGAAAAAAAAAAAAGAAAAAAGGAAAAAAGAGAAAAGAAAGAAAAAAGAAAGAGAAAGGAAAGAAAGAAATTAACAACGACGAAATAGCATTAAAGACGAAGAGCAAAGACGGATATAAATTGGTGAGAATAGAACGCGCGCACAGATATATAAATGTATATAAAATGCGAACAGAAAAGAAATTGTGCGAGAAAGAATAAACAGAGATAAATAAATAGAGAAATAAGATAGACAGAGTAGAACAGAATAGCCGTGTTATGAAAGTGAGAGGAAACCATAGTTGAAATAGATTATAAAACATATTATAGAAAAATATTATATAGAAACACGAAGATAGACGAAATACGAAGCTCGCGACACTTGCCCGGATTGCGATATCCAGCGTTCGAATTTTCTTAATAAACGAAGGGTGAAGCAATGATTGACGACGACTGTTGACTGTTTTCTAAAAGAGAGAGGGGGAGAGGAAAACGAAAAAAAAAAAAAATAAAACATAAAAGAGAGGGAAGTAAATACGAAGTAAGTGGCAAGAATAAAAATAGATTTTTCGGCTATTTATAAATATAATCGCAATGTTACGATTGCGTAAGATCGGTCGCCCTTTTCGAGCTCTTTGCCAAAGTACCCAAGACTATTCGTCATCGCGATCGAATGCAACCGGGCAAGCGCGTCGCATTACTCAAGTGCAACAACATTGAGCATCGTTACGATATATATATATATCTGTGTGAATGCCGTCGTTATTTGCACGTATCGTAATGTAATTTCTCGCAACATTGTCCTTTCCTTTCCTTACTGACGGGTAAGTACCTCGTAATCCTTCTTCTTAACAACATATTCGAGGTCGAATTTTTGATCCTCCAACGCAGTGATCCTATTGTGGTACTCGCGCAGCACGCGCTTCAGGGATTCTGTGTGGGACGAAGGTGAAAAAAGATCGGACAGAATTCATCATGTTTCTTTTTTTTTTTTTTCGAATCAAATTGAAATGGTGGACGATTAGAAATCGAAATGTTGGATGTTGTGTCGCAATGGAAAAATCGAAAACGTGTTTTTTTGTTTTTCGAAAAAAATTTGTTGCCCTCTGCTCGGGGGGAAAAAAAACGAAACAGTCGTCTCGAGAAAACGAGCAAGATGGGACGAGAGCGATTGGGAAAAAGAAGTGTGGAATCGAGAGAAAAAGTTACGACAACTCGTTGTCGCTGTACAACGCGGTACACGAATATGAAACTTCTATCGGATCTATGTCTGTCGCATTTGTCTGTCGGGCAAAAGAGAGAGAAAAAAAAGGAATATTTCTGTAGAAGACCTTGGGTGTTGTTCGACCCTGAATTGTTAGCACTGTCTAATAATGATCACGGCACCGTTGAACCGAGAAAAAAACCGCGGTTGTCGACGTGTTATCGAGGAGAATTTTTTTTTAAGGGGGGAGGGGAGGGAGAGAAAGCCTTTAATGTACCTTCGCTTGCGTCGTCGACGTTCTTCGGCTTTCCGCAACGCTCCTCGATGATGCGCCTCCTCTCGGCCGCCTTTCTCTCTTGTTCCTTCTTCAACTCCTCGGCGGCTTTCTTGCGCAGCAACAACTAACGCGAATATATGTATGTCCGTTAGAATTGAATGGAATTGAATGGAATTTCAAGAAAAGTAGTTTGGAAAAAAATATATATATATATAAAGCTCGTTTGGATAAGAATCGTAATAATATTAAGAAAATTAGGGGGACAGAATGCGAACTTACCCTAAGCTTCTTCTTCCTGTCAGGGGTCATGAAACCCTTCTTCGCCTTCTTGGCTTTGGAAGCCTCTTCGAGACGGGCGCGGACCTCCGCCCTCTTTCTGTCCGTCTCCGCCTGTTTCCTCTTCTTTTCCTAGATTTCCCGTAAGCGAAACTCCCTTAAAACATCTCTTATCCGATAATAGATCCGCGAGTTCAACCAAGAAACTCGACAAAGATCTCATTCTCTAGCGAACGAATTTAATAAATCCTTACCGTTTTTTCTTTTTTTTGAATAATGAATAAATTTTTGAAAAATAAAAAGAGGGGGGAAAAAGAAAAAAAGAAAGAAAAAGAATAGTAAAGTAAGATGATAATTAAAAATTTCGATTGTGGAAGGGAAAGAAATAATTTCGAAAAACTTTCGACTCGAAACTAGCCCTTGATACGAAAACTGTCGCAAAAGTCATTCAAGATTAGCGAGACTCGACAAGTTATTGAAAAAGTTTCAGCGATCCTTTTTCTGCTCTACTTTAACTTCCATCCATAGTTTCGCCCCCTTCTCTTACGTACATCCTCGAGACGTTTTCTCTGCAAAGGAAAGAATAAGAATGCGATCGTGAGAAAGGAATCTCTCCTATCGGCGGAATACGAAACGTTCGGTGTTGATCAGGAATCGATAATGAAATTTTTAACGTTTCGAATTCCGAAATTGTGCCAAGCGGTCGAAAAGAAGCGTGTATTGTTTGCAACAGTGTAGGAAATGCTCGTGTAAAAAGATATGTGCACATATAGAAAGTAGTGCAATAAGATATCGATAATATTCTTTGTATAGAAAGTGTTAGTGTAAAAAGTGTAGCGGAAAAAGTACGCAAGTGAATGTGAAAAAGACAATATCTTAGTAATCGCATTCTTTGCAACGATGTAGAAAGCGTGTAATAGATCTCGATAATATTCTTTGCAACAGTGTAGAAAGTGTTAGTGTAAAAAGTGTGCAAAAATACGCAAGTATAGAAAATATAGCGGGACAAGATTTTATATAATATTACTATAATATTCTTCGCAAAAATATAGAAAATGTCGAATATGTAATAGATAATATTATTATCGTAAAAATAATCGTGATTCGTAAGTGTGGAAGGTACGCGATAAAATCTCGATGATATTGTTTGAAACAGAAAATTTTTGTTAGTGTAAAAAAGTGTGGAAAGTTTGCAAATAAGAATCTCGATAGATATTTTTGGCTCGTAGAATATTTTGGCAACGCGTTTCGCGTGTTGAACATTGATGATACAATATTTAATAATACGCATATAAAAGCAGGCATAGGAAACACATGCTGTTGGCACACACAACGATATTAATATTGTCCCGGACAATAAATTCTTCTCTAAGTAAATCTACGTTTACCTCGTACGTTTTTCAATTACTACGTGGCTCGTGCTTGCGTTTTTCTACGTCAATCTACGCGCAATCGTTCTAACCTTTATTCTCCTCGATTAGACAGGAGAAACAAAGACATTTCTACAACTTGAGAAAGACACATATATACGTATATATATTTATACGTTCGAACGGCACGGAAAGAGCCCCCCTTTTCATGGAATCATCTTGATTTACGAACGCCAAGATTTACGAGTTGTCGAAAAGTGTGACGGAATTCCGGTATTTTCTCGGGGCGAGGATGATGATACCCTCCGTGCCGATTCGAACGCAAAATCGAGGGGGGGAGAAAATGGGAGGAGAAGTTGAGAAATACGAGTTTGCACAAGTATCGATGGTGCATTTTTACAATCACCGGTTTTGGGAAGATGTGTTGTGCAGGGAAAAGTTGGGCGTGAAATAAGAGGGAAGGGAAAAGATGGTGGAACAAATAAGGTGTGTAGAGGGGGTGGCGCGACTCGTAGTGGTAAATAACGTTGAAATAGGAGCGAGAACCGGGGCGATAAATCAGAGTCCTGGCCCGCGTCTCTCGTAATATTTCCGTATTTATCTTTTATTCCTCGAGGTGGAGATGAGACCGGTTACTCGCGTTTAAGAGACGCGAACGTGTACTTTCGCAAACACGGAGAGAAGAGTATATTCGAATATTTCTCGATTTTTCGCGGGGGATAAAATCCGTCCGAGAGAGGATTCGATTCGATCTCTCGAAAAATCGCGAAGGAATGGAAAGAAAGGGAAATGAGACGAGGTGTTTCTCGCGAAAGGGAAGGAAGAATTGCGAGGGGATAAAATTTTCCTCGTGTATTCTGCGGGGGACAAGAATAAAAATGTATCAACTTTCGTATAGTTTGGTATTGAAAAGAAAAATACAGAGGACTCGGTCGGTTCGAGCAAGGCTTTCAATCAAGGCTGACTCGTTATCGAGAAAGAGAGCCTTTTGTTAATCGTCATTACAAAAAAGAAAAAACACGTCTACTACTAGACAACTGCGTGACAAAATACGGGATAAAATATTAAAAAGTTAAAAAAGAATTCCAAAAGAAAGGAAGGAAAAAATCACTCGTCCTTCGTCACAGACACGTTCACAGACTGAGGTGTGGGGTGTTTTCGAAAAATTAGATTAATATCATTCGTTCCCCTACGATCACGAAGACGACGACGACGACGACGACGAAAACGACGATTATTATTATTTCACGGCAATTTCACAAGCACAAAGCGCACGAGCAATGCGTACCTTTCAACGACGTTTAGTTTACTGCAGGTGAAGTAAAAAGAACGGGAGGAGTCCGTTTATTCCATTTTCCAGCGATGGAAAGCGATGAATCGAGGATGACCGTGATGACGCATGAAAATGAGGAGAAAAATAAATATCGGTTAAGATTATTCGTGCGTTTCTCACGAAAAGGAAAAAAAAAGAAAAAAAAAGGAAAAGGAAACCGTGTCGAATTATCGCGCAATACCACGCGTCCTGCGTGAAGAAGAAGAAGAAACGATCGGCGAAGGAACAATTTTTCCATGACGATACCCACCTAACCTCGTCGTCCGCCATCGTGGTACCTGGCTGCTACACCCGTCTACCTAAAAATAAAGCGCAGAGGGGCATGTTTCACGTATCCGTGGCAAAATAACAATAAACAGTTCGCGTTACGTCATAGAATTAGCGTATTAAAACACGATCGTTTCACGGTGACACGGGGTTTACACGGGGCAACATCGCACGCCCCGTTAAATATAAACCAAAAAAGGAAGATGAGGAACTCGAGGGGGAGAGGTTGAACGTTAAATTCTCGATTGAGAAGAATTTTTCTTTTCTTTTTTTTGGGGGGGGGGGGGTTGAGTTTCTCGATAACCGGTTCCTTGTAAATCGACGCGATGAATCCCACCTTCCGAGCGTAAATTTTGAGCGTTCTCTCTCTCTTTTTCTCGATGCAGGAGAGAGAGCAATGGTATAGAATATCCGGTGCTCGAAAATAGACGCGGCCCGTCCCCACTTTTCGATCCGTCGCCGAGACGTCGCTACGTCGACGATCCAAATTTGGATGCAACGACCCGCTAGATCTCTCTCTCTCTCTCTCTCTCTCTTTCTCGTATTCCTCGACGCTGCTCGATTCAATGGCGAAAAACAGATCGAACAACATTGGAGGAAAAGTGGAGAAACGTGGAGGAAACGGAGGAATTTCGATAACACGTTATTTCCACGATATGAAGATCGTTACGGCGACGTAATTTTTTCTTCTTCTTAGAGAAACGAGATTGAGATTGTTATACTTGAATACTTAAAGGAAGAATAATTGTCTTCTCCTAATTCCAACGGTGAAAAAATATCGAAGGAAGAATTAAAGAAGTCGTGGGTGATTAATGGGAGAGCCGAAAGTGATTCACTTTCTTGGTTCACACGAGTGACCGCTAATAAAACGGAAATATAACGTTTGAGAATACATTCGCCAATTGTAATATACTTATACACGTTTATCCTTCCACTCGTTCGAATTTTAACGAAAATCGAATCGCGTGACGACAATTCAATTATTTGTTTGGCCAGCCGTCAAAAGAAGCTATAAAATAAAAAACGAGAATCCCCTCGAGATCCGCGGAAATTTCACCGGCAAAGCGCTTTAAATTTGTAATGGACGATCGCCCTCGCTAAGTATAGATTCGCTCGAGCCATTCCAAGACACGTACCAGAGTACCTCCCGCGATCGAGTCTCTGCCTCGTCTCCGATGTCAAAGAGGATCCGTAAAAATAGAAAACACGCGGAAAAATATATATATATATATATATAGCTTGTACGAGATCCTCTCTTTAAATAATAATAATACGTTTGTTCCTTTTTTTCTTCCCGTTGGAGAAAAGTCGAGCACCGGTCGAAACAACGTCAATCATCGCTACTTCTTTTCTTTTTTCTTCTTCGCGACTTGAGAAATCGAGAAAGAGACACGATGAAGGGTATACCAACTCGAAATATTCGCGAACCTCCTCGTTGGAATGATAAATTGCGAGAGCGCATAGATAGAGAGCGTTATATCGGTCAAGAAGATATCGTGGCGGAATACTAGTGCAAGGCTGTTTACACAGATCGGTTTAGATTCTCTTTCTCGTCGAATGAAAGGGACAAGAAAAGAGCGGGGCGCGGTCGAAAATGAAATCGAAAATTTATATTTATATAAATGTATCGAATTGAAAGAAGAGGAAGAAACGTTCACCTCTCCCCGCGAGAGAAGATCGGAGGAGGAAGATCGGATCCGCCCGTCACACGCGAGTGAAAAAAAGGAGAACGTCACAGTTTTTGGGTGCAACACTCGTGACCTTGAAAATAGTTTCGCCTCTGGTCGAACACTTCGCCTCTCACTGACACTCTCGAGAATGACGGCGAAGGAAAGAAAGCGAAAGGTGGCCTCCCAGTTCTTTCGAAAAGAATCCTTCGAGTCGGTGTCCAGGCGGAGAATCCTGAAGGGTATCGATCAATCACGAGGATTGCGCGACGCGTGCTTCCCCGCTCGAGGATTGGGCTTACCTTGAGAAGAACTGTTCGCTGGCTGCGACTGGCCAACCGGACCTTAAGCAGCTGACTGCGTGAATCCCTAGCCGACGTCGTCAACCTCCATCCTGTGGCCCGTTCACGTGGTAGTGGCCGACCAATGGCGGCTCGCCATTGGTCGTAAGCATTTTTAGGCGAGAGCTATGCTTGCTGCCAAAAATAATCGGAAACTGAAAACGGAGCCGAGCCCGCTTCGCCGTTCGCACGGCAACCCGCAAACTCGCGCCTTTCTTCCTCCGCATACTTGATTAAGTATGTTATGCGCGTCGAGAAGAAGAGGAAGAAGAAGAAGAAGAAGAAGAAGAAGACGGGTCTTCCTCCTTTCCGTTTCGTGCCGCTCGAAGATCGATCGAGCAGACGAATCGTCGCCAATTAATAGACAACGTCGATTAAACGATGCTTCGAAACGATAGAATTCTCGAAAAGTGTACGAGATTTACGAGCGAAGAAATAATTAATGGAGAAGGAAAATAATTTGGATAGGACATATAGTTGTGAAATTCAAATTCTATATATATCCAATAACGATCGAATAAACGAACGTAAAAAGGAGAAGAAAGAAAAATTTAACGGTGGAGCGACAATGTTCGATCGTATCTCGAAAACACGCCGAGGGAGAACGAAGATATTATTAACGGGCCGTTCTGGATTTTGGGTGTGCCAGCTGTTTGGCACTAAACATGGTAACGCTCACGGAACATCGTTTAAAACGTAACACTTATGATTCTACGTGATATTATATCTACTCTGACTTTTAATAGGCCTCGTCACACCCTTAAAGATGATCTAATTATTTCCAGGGATTTATAAGTTATTTTTAAAATCTCTTCCGAAATGATGAACTATATTGCTTAAAATTTAGAAATATCCGTCAATTTTGCAGCTTGAGTTCTCGAACTTGAGCAAAATAAAGTTAATCGAAGATAAGGAGATTTATTGTGTAAAATGTTTGAAAGAAACCAAATATTATAGATTTTCTTCACTATACCATCGAAGCTATTTATAGGATTTTCATTGATGTTCAAAAACCGTATAGCTAAAGTAGGAAACGGTGGGTTAAGTAGAATGGTCCTGTTTCTACAGACAGGTAGTATGTATCGACGCTTAGCCGGACGAGCGGACAATGTTGATAATGTAGAATTCTGTTACAGGCGTAGAACAAGCAAAAAGACTTAACATCTTATGGAAAATAGATTGAAATACCGACCTTAAAGAAAAGAGAAGTTTTTCTTTTTTGTTATTAAAATTGTAGTATATGTAATATTTGAATATAAAATATTAAAGCTCATTTGTGTCAACCGATATATTCAAAATTTAATAAGTTATTCCTGCTACATATTTTCACCATAATGCATTTTCCATCTGAATATATATTCACTGAAAACTGATATGTTCAAAATTTTAAGAATTTCTTCTCGGCCACAATTAGTACAGTCTTATTAGTTTACAATTTTTTTTAAGTATATAATCAATACGGAATACATTGTGCGATATTACGTTTAATACGTGTATTATTTCTTTTCTTCCTATGATAAAACGACAAACATCGATGCTTCCTTCTTCTAGAAAAAAATAGCTGCACATTTAACTCAACAATCCGAGCCTCGATACCGAGACAATGAAGTAAATAAAAAAAAAAATAAAATGCATTCAAAAACAGATAAAGATAGACACACAAATCGCTTAAACTATCGCAACCATCTTTTCCCAATAATTTCTCAATAATTTCTTCGTCCATAAAGCGCATTAATTAATTAACACATAGATGCATATTCCGCATCTAATCGAAGCGGTACAGGTAAACTTGGGGAGAGAGAGGTGATGGGGGGTGGAATAGGGGGTGCGATGGTGAAGGTAGCTCTGAACCAAGGGTGATTAACCCTTGCGTCCCTGTTGCCACGACGACGATCCCGTGACGTCACGGGACAAGCCGGGGTTTATGGGTGACCCACATTCCAAAAATAGCCATCACCGACCCCTACCCCCTCCCCCAACCACCGCGCCGCTTTTATCGCATCTTCCTCCTTCCTTCCCCTAACCAGTGTCGCCCGCTCAACCACCGTCTCCTCCTCCTCCACATCCCCCTCCCTCCAATCCATCCAGTCTCGACTCACCCTTTTCCTCCTTACATCCTGCCATTCTCCTCCCTTCCTTGTTTTTCTATTTACCCCGGAATTGCGATACCCTTTCTATACGTGTCGGCGAGTGGTAAGAGGATTTCCAACACTTTCTTCCTTTCTTTTCTTTCTCTTTTTTAATGTCAAAACGATGTCAATGCCGAACCAATATTGGCTCGACATCGGTTACGTGTTGTTCCTCGTGTCGATCTCT